GAGAAGGGCGCCTATCTTAGTTACTCACGGACATCACCAGCACATAGACGCGCAGGTCAAACTTGCGGCCTGTCAGGCAAGGAAAGAATTAATTTGTGTAACAAATATTGACTGAGGGCCAGGCACTGTGCTAGGTTCGGGGGATACAGCAATGTGTAGACAGACATGAATCTCAATAAAACCATGTGCGGTACAAGGTGCCAGAGAGACAGGGTCCTGGGGCAGGAGGAACTGCGTGACCAGAGGCCCAGAGGGGCAAAGGGCTTGGTCCAAGGGCAGAGTGGAAGGAGACAAGGTTAGCGAAGTCAGCAGGGTCTGGGTCATGTGCAGTTTTAGAGGTTGTTCCATCAACCATGGAAGCTGCTACAGGGTGTGCGATGCCTCTGGCCACTGTGGAGCATAGGGGGCCAGAGTAGCAGCAGGCACAAGTGAGGAGGCCAGCACAGCTGTCCAGAAGGGAGAGGACAGTGGCCAGGACTGGGCTGGAGGTGGCCAGGCCAGACAGAGTCAAGTACTTGACGAAGAATAAGATGTGGGAGGGGAAGAGAGAGACGCACCCAGGACAGTCTCTGACGTCTGGCCTAGCAACCAGTGGGTGGAGGGTCTGTGTTCCCAGGTGGAGAGGCTGGAGAACAGTGGGAGGAGGACAAGGGCTATGTTTTAGGCATGTTGGGTTTGAGTTGCTGGGAGATGCCCAGGAGGGGATGTCACAAGCTGTGGGACATCAGGATTTGGGGTGTAGGAGCAAGGTCTTGGCTGGAGACAGAAAGCAGCGGTCACTGGCATCTGGGTGGCATTTAAAGCCACAGAGAGAGGATGGGGTCACTGGGGGAGGGACAGGAGGGAGGAGAAGACACCCAAGGACTGCCCCTGGGGAAGGACATTACCCAAGGAGGTAAGAGGAGGCAAGTGGCATTAACACTATTTAATGATGCCCCTTACAGCACCTGGCTCCTCTCAGATGAGACCCTCCAGAATCACACCCCTTCTCACACAGGGCCTGACATGTCTGTGTTTCAGAACCCATGTGGGAAAGGCCGATATAGAGATGCCCAGGGGAAATCTGTGAAGGCTTCAGTGGGGAGGCTCGGGCCCTAAGCCCTTGCAGCATCCCTTTCCTCCAGATCTACCCACAGGTGACTCCCAGTTGTCATCCACATTTCAGCTCACCTGTCACCTCCTCACAGAGGCCCTTCCTCATTTTCTGTCCCATCTCCCTGCTTGACGTACTTGCTAACCCTCACCGCTGTGTGGAACTATTTTATTTCTTTCTTTCTGTTTTATTGCTATCTGCTCAGCTGGGGTATAAGCTTCATGAGAGCAGAGTGGGCAGCCAGCACTTAGGACAGTGGCTGGCACTGAGTAGGCTCTTTATAAGTATTTGTGGGATAAATGCATGAACGAGTGGTTCTTGAAGGATGAGGGGAATTTTAGTGAACCAAGAAGGGAGTGGGAAGGGCATGCCAGACAGAGGAACTGCATAGGCAACAGCTAGAAGATGGGAGAGTGCCAGGCAGATCTCCATCTTCGCATCCTGTCATGCCTGGTGTCAGGCCAAGCCCATAGTAGGCTTGTTGACTGACTAACTGACCATTTAGTGGAAAGGCAGGGAACATAGACAAGTATCTCACCTCCTATCAGGTAGGGATTTTCGATGTAACGCTGAGCTACATAGTTCTCCACGGGAATTTCTTCTTTCTGGTCATCCGAGTTTCTTGTGTCCTAGTTGTAACAGTAATTATTATTATTAACATTTATTGAGCACTTCCTGTGTACTAGGCATTATGTTAAGCACTCTACTTGGGGCATGTAATTTGACCCTTAAATTAACCCTATCAGGGAAGTACTAATGTTATCCCCATTTCACAGATGAGAAACTGAAGCACAGAGAGGGTGAGTGACTAGCCCAAGGTCACACAGCTGGTCAGTGTTACAGCCGGGACGTGGACCCGCATAGGCTGGGTCCACAGCCTGGGCATTTAATCTTCAGACCTGCGCTGCCCAATAGGGCAGCCACTGGCCACATGTGGCTATGTGCATTTATATTGATTAAAAGTAAGTGACATTACACGCTACAACATGGATGAACCTTGAAGACATAATATGAAGTGAAATAAGCCAGGCACAAATGGACAAATATGGTATGATTCCACTTATACGAGGTACCTAGAATAATCAAATTCATAGAGACAGAAAGTAGAATGGTGGCTGCCAGGGGCTGGAGGGAGGGAGGAAATGGGGAGTTAGTGTTTAATGGGTACTGGATTTCAGTTTGGGAAGATGAAAATTATTGGATTTTGGAAAAGTCATGACATATTTTGTCTATGTGTTTCAAAGGTCATTTATTTCTATAAAGAATAAAGATCAATCAATGATATATTGCCCGTTTTATTCAATAAACTTTTGCCATCTTTCAGTGAGCTTCATAATTCCTC